GAAGTGTCTAAAACAGGCCCTTGGTGGGGAGGATGGGGCAATACATAGCAGACAAGTTCAGAGGCCTTACTTTTTCCTCAATTTCTCCAAACACTCTGGCTCCTCTCTTCAGTACCTCCAGGTCCCTTCTGTGTCCCTGGTGGAGCTCCTTGCCTCCTCTCACCCCCACCCATCACTTGATTCTTGGGAAGGTCAGCACCAGGAAAGCTCTAGAAAGAGAGCCACGGTATACTGTTTTTGAAGGCCACAGTTGCTCCCATCTTGGACTCAGACTCAGGAATTAGCCAATGATAGGAAACCAACGGAAACTCAGCAGGCGCTCCAAAGAACAGGAAACAGGAAGCCAAAATAGCATCACAAACTCTTTATTATGATTTTCACTGTGCCCAGCCTGTGGGAGAATCCTTCTGGAGTGAAGGCTGAGCAATGGGGAGGAGCATGCAGCTGTAATGACAGGAAGACAGGGCTTGGGGATATTCCCCTCAGCTAATTCTCGTTACCTTTCTCAGAAAAGCACACAGGAAGAGCATGAGAGATCACAGGACATTGGATCCTCCATTGTTACTTGAGTACTCTCAGAACCTCCCTCACAAGCCTGAGTTTGGCTGGAAGACATATCATAGGCCATCTCCTAAAGGAGGCTAAGCTTGAAGGCCTGTGTTTCACCACAGCTACAGAAAAGCCTTGCTATTTATACCTTGATGTTCACATCTGTGGTCACACCAACCCATTCTATACATAGTGGGATTGGGCTTCCTAGTTACCAGCTGAGACCAGATCTGACAACCTCTCCATGATCTGGGTCATCAGGGTATGTGGCCCAGAGGGAAGGTTTTCCTTACTGCTCTTTGGGTCTAGTGAAACTTCTGTAACTTATTTTTTTTCTTTTCAAGGTTGCCAAAAGCAGTGGCAAAAAAAGTGTCCAGTCCCACCCCACTCCAGGGCTGAGCTGTTGGGAACTGGTATGATACATTAATATCCCCATCTCAGAGACATCTCTGTTGTCTGGGTAGCAGGTAGGGGCACAGAGAGAGAGAGAGATCCTGGGTAATGTCAAACTAAGTGGCATGGAGGAAGTAGCAAATTTGTTCCACTGTAATAGAAGGGTAAAGAGGGGTTGTGGTTATAGGTGCAGCCAGGATGTCCTGGCTATTCTTTTAGCGCCAAGTATGTATCTACCTTTATTCTGCTGGTTGGAAGGAGACATGCTTGCAGGGGCACTATAGCCTGCTACTAGTCCTACCTGGAGGGTTACTCTTGGCTCTGGGGCAGTCACGGCTAACCTGGTGCCCTGCCAGACAGCTTCTGCTGAGCTTACCTTGGCTATAGGGCTTCCTGGTATCACTCTTAGTAAAGCCATGAGACCTGCAGTGTTTGAGGCTGCTTCAGGCTAAGAGGCCTAGGCATAGTCCTGGGCT